TAGCTAATGGTCTCCTATCATCGGAAGTGAAGAAGAGTACAAAAACCCAGCCATTTGGAAGTATTCAGCCGTAGGACATAATAGATTTTGAGACCAGAAGAACTAGATGGTGCCCTGCTACCAATGCCAACCACTCAGGAAAGGATCAAAACTGGAGATCCTGGATAGAGTGGGAGGAAAAACGTGGAATAAAATCCAAAAACTCAATAATGACCAGAATTACTGGTCAAATGGAGTCTCGTGAGACACCCCATACTATGGCCCTGGGATACATTTTGGGCCTGGAATAAAACTCACTCCCAGGGACTGGCTCTTAACCCAATAGTAAAAAAGATGTACATGCAGACCACTCAAACCAAGGTGTCGCACCCACATACTCTATGGAGATGCATCCCTTGGAGCAATTGACCATAAGACACCAGAGGGGCAATATTCGCATGGAGGAAATGCAGGACATACAGGAATGCATAACTATGAGGGACATGGGGGTGGTGGTGGTTACTGGGCAGGGAGGGGAGGAGACTGGGTTAAGGTTGGAGATGGTAAATGGGGAGTGAAAGTAAATGTACATGAAATGTTGAATGTAAAACAAATTCTGCTCTGTAAACTTGCACCTAAAGCACAATATAAATAAATAGCTAACTAGCTAGATAGCTAGATAGATAGTGTTAAAAAACAAAGATGTCACTTTGAAGACTAAGGTGCACTTGATGACAGCCATGGTATTTTCAGTTGTCTCACATGCATGTGAAATCTGTACAATGAATAAGAAAGACCGAAGAAGAATTGATGACTTTGAATTATGGTGTTGGTGAAGAATATTGAATATATCATGGACTGCCAGAAGAAGGAACAAATCTGTCTTGGAAATACAGCCAGACTGCTCCTTAAAAACTAGGTTGAGGAGACTTTGTTTCACATACTATTGACATGTTGTCAGGAGGGGCCAGTCCCTGGAGAAGGACATTGTGCTTGGTTAAGTAGAGAGTCAGTGAAAAAGAGGAAGATTCTCAATGACATCGATTGACACAGGGGCTGCAACAATGGACTCAAACATAGGAATGATAGTGGGGATGGCACAGGACCAGGCAGTATTTCATTCTGTTGTATGTAGGGTTGCTGTAAGTGGGAACTGACTCAATAGTACCTAACAAGAACAGTAGTGTTCATGTATAATAGATCCCATCTGTACCTCACCAGATGTACTTTATGCAGAGAGATGCTGATACCTTTTGGCATATTATTGGCTGCTGCCCAAGTGTATTTTCTTGCCAGACCCTGAACACTTTAAGCCCTTTGAGGGCAAGGAACATGTTGGCTTTACTTTTGTATCCTCTGTGCCTGGCATTCAATCAACGGTTGTTTTTGTTTTCTTTTCTAGGTTGTGAAAACTATTGGCCTAAGGGAAGTTTGGTTCTTTGGTCTGCAGTACCAGGACACTAAGGGTTTCTCCACCTGGCTGAAACTCAATAAGAAGGTAAGTGTTTATCCCTATGTTGGATTTGGAATTCATTTTTCCACCAGAACTTGCTCAGGGTCATAACATTTGCTAGTTGGCAAACTCAAAGCATCTAGGGCTGTTTTTCACTGGGTGGTATGTTAACCACCCAGATCAGAATAAGAGCATAGGACACATCCAAGGTAAAGATCTTTCTCTGTGTCTGCTTTGACTTCCAACAGTGAGAATGGTCTTACAGGAAGGAAGGGACCCATCCTTGAACCTCTGTCTTGAAGTTTGTCTTGTTTTGGACCAAAACCATTAGTGGTGCTTCAAAAAGTGATTGGTATTCCTTTGTTCTTTCAAACACACAAGGGCTTAAGGAGATGTGTTAAAAAGAAGAGTCACAGTAACTCTAGTCATTTTTGTGTTTTTGAATTTTGTTTGACATTTTTCCTCCCACTCTATCCAGGATCTCCAATTTTGATCCTTTTCCAAGCAGTTGGTATTAGTAGACAGGCACCATTGAATTGTTCTGGTTTTGGGGTTCTGAAGGCTGAAGTCCTCGTGGTCCATCATATCTTTGGACTAATTGTTTCCAGATGACTTTGATTTTTTTCAGTCTTCTTTGCTCCAGACTAAAGGTACTAATAATTGCATCTTAGATGGCCTCTTGGAAGCTTTTAAGACCCCAGTTGCTACTCACCAAAGTAGGCTGTAGAACAAGATTTTTATGAACTATGTTGTGCCAATTGAGCATGATGTCCCCCGAGACAATGGTCGGATAGAGACTGGTGGAACACCCAAGACTATGACCTTGGGTTTCTCTTCAGGCTTAGAAATGGACTCATTTCTGTGGACTGGTTCTTAGCACAACAGTAGAAAGACTTACATGCAGAACACCTACCCCAGGGAGATGCATCCACCTACTCTAGGGAGATACACCCCTTTGATCAACCAGCCATGAGACATCGGAGGGGCAGCATTCACATAGGGGGAAAGATGGACAGATAGGAATGCATAGATAAGAAGGGCACAAGGAAGATGTAGTCATGGGGAGGAGAGTTTTTTTATGGTTGAGAATTGTAATAGGGACCGTGAAATCAAATCTGCATGAACTATTGAATGTGAAAAAAATCTACTTTGTAAATTGACACTCAAAGTACAATTTAAAAAAGAGAAAGAGAGTCATAGACTCGAACTGGACAGAATCTTAAAGGTCTCATAGTCTTATACTCCACTTGTCCCAACATCTCAAAAAACCCAAAACTGGTCATGAACCAGTGCTTCTCTCATTCTTGATTGATCTTCCTCAATTGAACTCCAAATGTGATGTGGTGAATATACATGCTCTCTACCCCAAGCAGAATCTGTATAGGAACCTAGCATTCATCTCAATATCTTCAAACTGGCTGGCTTTGTCCTTGAATGTCCCTATACTGTCCTATGTATGGCTTATTTCCCTGATTATGTGTAGCGAATGGGTGTCCCACTCCAGGAGTAGAGACTTTTGTTGGACAAATACGGTGCTGTTAGGAGCCTATTTCAGGCTTTAGAATATAGACTAGCTTGTACTCTTGCTTCTTAGAGCTCAGTCATACATCCTAGTCTTAACTTTGCTAATTTATGGAGTTGTTGTTGTTGTTACATGCCATTGAGTCAAACCTGACTCATAGTGTTTCTCCTTGGGTTTCTGAGGCAGTATCACTATGGAAGTAGATTGCCCATCTTTCCTTCTGAGGAGTGGCTGGTGGGTTTGAACCATCAGCCTTCTGGTTAGCAGTCAAATGCCTTAGGCACTATGCTACCAGAGCTTAGGGGAGCCTTAAAAGAGGAGCCAACACTCAAAATTTGGAGGCAGTTGGATATATTGTCAGATGTTGTTGGTTTGAGGGCTTATGGTCATCAGGAGTCATTTCAGGAAGAAATTCCAAACAGGAGGTGATTATGGACACGAACTTGTGTCCCCAGTGGATGTAACATATTTCCTCTCTGAATTCTAGAAGCGTTGCTACCTAGAAATCTGTGATTACCCAAATTGATGACAATTCAGTGTCTTCTCCCAATCCTACTGCCAACCCCACTGCCAAAGTCTGTTTTTAAAAGAGCCCATAACCTCTTGCTGCTCTCAGGTGACAGTCCAGGATGTACGGAAGGAAAGCCCCCTGCTCTTCAAGTTTCGGGCCAAATTTTACCCTGAGGATGTATCAGAAGAATTGATCCAGGACATCACCCAACGCCTGTTTTTCCTACAAGTGAAGGAGAGCATTCTCAATGATGATATTTACTGCCCACCTGAGACTGCTGTGCTGCTGGCTTCCTATGCTGTCCAGTCTAAGTATGGTGACTTTAATAAGGAGGTGCACAAGTCTGGCTACCTGGCTGGAGACAAGTTGCTGCCCCAGAGGTAAGGTGGCATGGTGGCTGTCTTTGCCCTGGACAGAGGGGGCTGAGGTCCATGGTTGATCAATCTCTATTATACAGGGGCTGCCAGATCTGCTCCTCTCCATTAGAAAATGTCTGAGGGTCACATTGGGCTGTTTGGAGAGACACATTTGCATATGATGTCATACTCTGTTGTTTTTTTGGCTCTCAAACTAAAAAGTTTTTTTTTTCTTTTTTCCCTCCACTTCTGTATGCCTCGTTACTGATCTGCATTGCCCTGGAGGCAGGAGCTTATACAGAGAACCAGAGATAGAATGGTTGTTTTTTCCTCTATCCCTTGTTCCGATTTTCTCAGCCGTTTTCTGATTTAGGCTTCATATACTAGAGTTTCACAGAGGATAGAGAGAAATACACAAGTATTGTGGGTGCTCAAATAACTTTATTTAAAATTGTAGTTTGGGTGAAAGTATACAGAGCAAGTAAGTTTTCCATTCAATAATTTATACATGTTTTATTTTGTGACATAGGTTATAATCCCTTCAATTTAACAGCATTCTTTCCCCTTTGTCTTTGGGTTCCTCATTTCCATTTGTCTTTATTTCCTGCCCCTTCCTGCCTTCTGAGCTTTGTTTTTGGACAAACATGGCCTCTTTGGTCTCAAATAGGTTTTTAATATTGATAACCAATGTTCGTAGCTTTCTGCTTCTATAAATTTCAAATGTCAAAGCTGTCAAACACTCATTATTTTTCTTCTAGCATCATGACACCACACAAAATAAGGCAGGTATTACCCTTGTTTCTTGGCTAAGTAAATAGAGGTGCAGATGTGCTTGGACTGACTTACCTGAGCTCCCCATCTCATTGAGGCTGAGCCAGACCTGGAACCCTAGTCTCTTGTTTTTTGGGTTTTTTTTTAACCCTGTTTTTTTTTCCACTGCAATCACCATTTTCATAGGCTTTTAGATTGGAAGGAAAACTCTGCCTCATTTTGGGAATCTTAGTCCACATATAGGAGCTCTGGTAGCATAGTGCCTAAGGCACTTGACTGCTAACCAGAAGGCTGGCGGTTCAAACCCACCAGCCACTCCTCGGAAGGAAGGTTGGGCAATCCTTCTGTAGTGATACTGCCTCGGAAACCCAAGGAGGGGTCGCTATGAGTCGGGGCCGACTCGACGGCACATAACAACATAACAACAATAGTCCACATATAAAGCCACTTGAAGGTATTAGGGATAGTGATTATATCCTTGGATTCTACCTGAGACATTGATGTGATATCTAAGATGGTATGTTTAAAACAAGCCTTCTTCACCATCTAATAGATCTAGGAGGTTGTACCTATTAGCTTATCCCAAAGCCATTTGGGTTCTGTTTTCTGTTCTATACCTATAAGCTGTGTGCCTATCTCTGAGCAATATTCTCACAACCACAAACTCTTGGTCCCAAGAAGATCTAGGAGAGAATATGCATGGCTCTGTGAAGCCCATCCTTACTTTTAGTCCCCCAAGTCAGCACTGACGTCATACTGTACCTCTGTGCTTGAGACCACAGGACATTATTGGATTTTCTGATTTAAGGTATAAAGAAAGGTTTTCCCATTGTCTTTCTTGGTTTCTTGTACTTTCCTACTTGTCAGGCAGTTTCTTGGGTCCATTTTAACACCTTCCTGCTGTAATTTCAGTCTGCTTCCAGTGTGATCTCAGTGAGATGATTCCATACCCTCTTTTCATCAGCTCTTCAGAGAGCTAAGTGGACTTCCCTTCCCCCCTGCACATGGGCTTTGTGCTTTAAACTGGTCACCACCCATTGTCTTTATAGGGTCCTGGAACAGCACAAACTCAACAAGGACCAGTGGGAGGAGCGGATCCAGGTTTGGCATGAGGAACACAGGGGCATGCTCAGGTAAGCCCACCTTAGCAGCTGTGGGCCCCACCACCCTTGAAGGGAGAATAAGAGTTGGTTCTCAAGAGAAAAGGGAGATGACTGGAGATGCTGAAGGATATTGGGGTGGGGACAGGAATGGTGCTAGCACTTGCACAGTTTATGGGAGAAATTTAAAGATTAGAAGACAGATCAGGACCATTATAAGACAGTTTTGTTTTTGTTTTGTGAATGTGGAAGCTGATAGACCAAACAGTTTTGACCATAAAGAAGGAAAGGGGAAGAAGCTCTCTAAACATGGCAAACCATTTGGGGATTGTCCAGTAGTGAAATAAATCTTTATAAATTTGCCATCACCACCTCATCTGACCTCTACTAAGAATGTTCTTGTATAAAAGGCTGTTGCAATGCACTGGAGGAAGAAAATTGCTTATATATGGCAGCTAACATTCTAGAAGCCAGCAAGGGTCAACCATCCCTACCCTCACTCCCCACCATTCCCCTTGCGAGTCTGAGACCTTAAGCTCTTGTCAGCAAATTTTACTTCGCAAAAGTCATATTGTGCTATGTTCCCCATCATCTACTCACCTTTCATCCTCTGGTGAAAAGGTCCTTATGGAAGCGTAAAGCAGGCAGGCTTTCTGTCTCCCTGAGTCTGATTCCCAGATTCCTACCTGTGGTCCCTCACTCTGTGTCCTTTAGGGAGGATGCTGTCTTGGAGTATCTGAAGATTGCCCAGGACCTGGAGATGTATGGTGTGAACTATTTCAGCATCAAGAACAAGAAAGGCTCAGAGCTCTGGCTGGGGGTGGATGCCCTGGGTCTCAACATCTATGAGCAGAATGATAGGTATAACTCAGACCTCTCTTCGTTTATTTGGGCCACTCTGGAAACTAGGTCTCACCACATAGCAAAGCTATACCTCTTCAGGTCTTTTGCTATCCAGTTCAGTCCATTCCAGGTAATTGCACAACCTCCCTCAGATATCCAAATCCTGCATTAACTGGATGTTTACTGTCCAGTATGGTAGGAACTAGCCACATGTAGCTACTGAATACTTGAAATGTGACTAGTATGAATTGAGATGTACTCTAAAGTGTAAAATATACACTGGATTTTGAAGACAATGTGAATAACAATGTAAAATATCTCATTAATATTTTAAAAATATTGATTTGCATGTTGAAATGATAATATTTTGTATATACTGAGTTAAATAAATGCTATTATAATTATTTCCACCTATATATTATTACTTATTTTAATGTGGCTACTAGAATATTTTAAATTACATATATGGCTTTCATTATATTTCTGTTGGACAGTGATGACCTAGAACCCACCTATGTGATGAATAAGTAACTTTTGGCCTATAATCTCTCTCACTGCAGTCTTATGTCACTTGCTTATTTTATTGTTTTATTTTTTTTGGTCTGCACTTGATGGTGATGGAGATTAATAGTTTGTTCCATGTAATTTGGGTAGAAGAATTCCACTTCAATGGGGCTGGTGTTCTATTTATTACCTCTTTAGAAAGTGTTACAAGGTCTATACCTCAATCAAAAATACTACATAACAAACTTCAGAGATTGAGGCAAGTGGTACTATGTTGGTTATGGTATCAGGATGTTCTTTGTGTACCCTTGACACTAGCAGCTGACCTGGTGGCATGTGATAGCACTGACTGAGCTGCCAATTAGTCTTCCCCCTCAAGGGAGAAGTTGAAAGGGGAGGAGGGCAAGACACCAACCCTCTATATCCTTCTTGTCTTGTCTTTGCCATCATGTTCTCGGTCTCCATTCCTACAGACTAACTCCCAAGATAGGCTTCCCCTGGAGTGAAATCAGGAACATTTCTTTCAATGACAAGAAATTTGTTATCAAACCTATTGACAAAAAAGCCCCGGTAAGTAACCCCTCTTTCTGACCAAGGCAAGTACCTGTCAGGGCCTGGATAATTACTATGTGTAATCATCTCATTGTATTTTTATATCCCTTTCTGGCTTTTGTTTTGTGGGTGGGAACAGAAGGCCCAAAAGAAGTTTGGGTATGGATGGGAATATCAGTGTCAAGAAATGGCCAAGAGACATCCTGTACCTGGTACCACCTGGTGCTTCTATTGTGGCTCAGTAGAAGCATGGATGAGAGAGATCCACAGGCAGTCTAAGTGTTCCCTCTTAGCCACTGTCTTCTCCTGCTCTGAGGCTTTAGGGTAGAAACAGAGTGCATCTTATCTTCCCAAGTCCCTGGGCCTGAGAATGTGGAAACTTCATGTATGATTTATTTTTAGTTGTGGAGAAACATCAGAGCCAGGAGAAATCCATATCTAAAGTTGATCTTCCAATTTAGCTTTTTGGTGTAACTTCACAACTGCCCTCTGAGACTTCTCCCTAGAGTGACCTGAGAATAGGAAAGTGCCTTGGATCTATTAATTCCTCTAACCTGCTCTGCATACTTTTTATCCATTCAGTTGTTTGTGGCTGATAAGTCTGGAAAATTGGTGATTGGGGTTGGATAGAAAACTGATATGAAGGTCTACTCCTTTGGTGTACCTTGTGCAACAAGGGTCATTGATTCTTTTCCTGAGGGCTCACCTATTCTTTTCCAGCTCTGAGGTCTCTGAACTTTCCCAGCTAGGCACTTTACATATGTTGTCTCAACCATCAACAACCCTGTCAGGCAGGTAGTAGCATCCCCATTTTACAGTTGATGAAACAGGCTCAGAGAGGTGGAGTGATTTGCCTAAGATCACACAGATGGAAGTGGTAGAGCTGGCATTCAAACCTAGGTCATTTGGCCCCAAGAGCCTGTGCTCCTTTCATTGTACCCCATGCTATATGAAACAATAGCACTTTGGATTTGTTGGCTGAGGAGGTGGTAGTTAGCCATCAACTCATGACCTTGGTCCAGTGCTATTTGTAATAACCAGCCCAAACTCTGGATTCTGTGTGTGTGTGTGTGTGCTTTAGTGTTGCTGTGTTTCACTTTCATCAGAGAAAAGTAAGTGACAAAGCCATCTGTAATAAAGGGCTTATTAAGAAACAAAACAAAACATGACAAGCAATGTATTTACAAGCTACTTTGTTTCAAAGAAGATTAAGGGGCTGGCTATAAGATAAAGTCTTTGAGGCTACAGAAGTAGTCCAGCCACTCACACTGCACCTACTCAGGGCACTATACAGGATAGTTAGACCTCTAAGAGAGGCCCCCTGAGACCTACTAGGATCTCTAATTACCAGAGAAAGTCTTTTCCAGTCCTTCAACTGGATGCTTTTCATAAACAAAGGTTCAAAGAAATTGTGGTTTAGAGGAAAGAGCACTGGTTTCAGAGTCAAAAGGCCTAGTGTTCAGTTTTCACTTTGCCACTAACCTGCTGTCTGCCCTGGGCAAGTCACTTTATCTTCTGATCCTTAGTCTTCCTAGCTGTAACACAAGGGAATTG